GCTTTTGAATTTATAATTAATTACGCTTTAAAATATTAATGTGTGTTCTTTATTTACTCATTTCCGTTATTCATATATTTTTTTTTTTTTTGTAAAATCCGAATACCTCTTATTATTTGGATTGGACAAAATGTTGTTAATTTAAAATATACTAAAAATGTATTTGTGTTTTTGGTTTGAAATACTTATGTCGGTTTTTTGAAAAAAAAATATATCATATACACACTTTACCTGTTTAAGTAATATTTTTATTTTTATCTACCCTAACCATGAGCTATATTTTATTGTCAATTAACATAGAATTATTTTTTTATGTCAACATAATGTTATTATAATATTGTATATTAATTTTTTTTGTGCTAACCATCTTGTGTTTTCGTACTTTAAATACATTGCTTACTCTATTTTATATATTATATTTATCGTTTTACATATTTTTAAATAGATTATAATATTATGAAACCATTTTACTCGACCCTGTTTTGGAGGTTTATATAAAATTTACTTTACCTACTAATGGATTGAATAGTTCGTATTAGTGGTGGTCGAATGTTTTTTTTTCATGTGAGTGGTGGTTGGGGGGGGGGTGTAGGTGAGGTTAAGTGACTGAGAGAAAAGATACTTGACAAACACTTTAACGACTAGAACCACTATTCCTATGTGATCCCTACGATAGTAGACGAGTAATAAGGACGTCTAATGACGACACGTGTAGTGAGAAAAAAAGGCAAATATTCTGCCACCTCGATCACACTAAGCCTGGGACACGCCTTCAGCACCTGTTTAATGGTCAGTTTTGAGTTAAATAAGTGCTGTTCAAGTTTTAGGCGTTAAAGCACCGGAATGCAACCTGTACCTTTAAATGTACCTATGGCAGAGGGACGACCTTAATTAAGTTTAGGTGCACTTACGCACAGCGTATATAGCTTATTATTGTATGGTAAATGATTCGTATTTTAGTCGTTGTTTAATTTCGTATTTGACTAGGCTGACAGGTGCTTTTTTTCCAGAATGTTATAATAGATTATTTAGGTACCAGCTATGGGACTATGGTACAGCTAGGATGACTGGATGAGCTTAATCCGATCCAAATATTAATGATTTTGTCTGCGATTAATATTTATACCTTCATATCGTACATTTCCAACGTTGCGTGATTGATCATGACGATAAATTGTTATGCCATCCTACATTTCTCACAATTTTTTTTATTGCTTTTGATTTTAATTCGGGTTGTTTTTATATAAATAAATCGACGGGATAACTTTTAAGACTATCTACTCGAAAATGTTTACATCGATCTCAATAATATCATAGATTCTAGGATTTTATCCGAGTTGAATAAGACATAAAATATAATATAATAATATACGACACATTGCGTCGATATTATTCAATGGTATTACTGAAACTGATTAACAGAAGAATAAGAAGTATACTCAACGTTTTCCAGAAAAGGGAAAAACGAGCCATAAAAAAAGTAAATGATTATAATATACCTAAATAATAAAAATTACGGTGATGCTGAACTGTTCGGGAACTTATCAGTTCATGGGAGTTATGACAGCAAACGTAAGATTTCATAACAATTTTCATGTCAGTCGATCGAGCGTTGTACCATACAATGTGTAAACGTATATATGCATTATGAACCGATTGATTTTATCCGAGTTGAATAATGACATGAAATATAATATTATAATAATATATTACACCGTGCGTCGATATTATTCAATTGTATTTCTGAAACTGATTAACAAAATAATAATAATAATATACTCAACGTTTTCCATACAAGGGAAAAACGAGCCACAAAAAAATTAAATTATTATAATATACCTAACTAATAATTTAATTATTATATGTTTATGCTGAACTATTCGGGAATTTATCATCATTGGGATTTATGACAGCAAACGTAAGATTTCATCATACAATTTTCATGTCAGTCGATCGAGCGTTGTACCATACAATGTGTAAACGTGTATACGCATTATGAACCGATTGATTTTATCCGAGTTGAATAATGACATAAAATATAATATTATAATAATATATTACGCCGTGCGTCGTCGATATTATTCAATTGTATTTCTGAAACTGATTAACCGAATAATAATAATATACTCAACGTTTTCCATAAAAGGGAAAAACGAGCCATAAAAAAATTAAATTATTATAATATACCTAACTAATAATATAATTATTATACGTTTATGCTGAACTGTTCGGGAACTTATCATCATTGGGATTTATGACAGCAAACGTAAGATTTCATCATACAATTTTCATGTCAGTCGATCGAGCGTTGTACCATACAATGTGTAAACGTGTATATGCATTATGAACCGATTGATTTTATCCGAGTTGAATAATGACATGAAATATAATATAATAATACATTACATAGTGCGTCGATATTATTCAATATTATTGTATTTCCGAAACTGATTAACAGAATAATAATAATAATATACTCAACCTATTTTAATATAATAATACAATTATTATCGTGCTGATAACTATTCGGGAATTTATCATCAATGGGGATTTATAATAGTAAACGGATTACGTAAGATTTCATGTCAGGTGACCGGGCATTGTACACACTGTACACATTGTGCGTCGATTATTTGACGCTCGTCGTTCCGGAACAGTGACCTCCTTTTTTTTTGCCACGTCGTTTTTTTTTTTTATATATCACATATGAATTTCTGTACCCTATGGCCTATCGTGCCCATATACACCCAAGGGATGTTTTATCTGTATCCTTGTTTCCATACACGCTTAGTTATAATATTAAAACAACAGACGCATAAATGGATTCAGCTACTTCGCATACACCGAGTTTTACGAGAGTCGGACGTGAAACGGCAATCGAATTCTGTGGAAATAACGACAAAAACAAAATACCATCACAAATATTGTTACTTATATATACGAGCACAACCATATAATAATATGCGCATTTAAGTATGCGAATTTGATGTCTGATTATAATATATTTTGTTCATTTATTTATCATATTATTATTATTCGTCGTCGTTTGTTTTAAACTTATAATTTTTCACTGTCAGGGTGGTGCCAACTATATTTTAGTTTCAATGACTTTATATCGTCGGCTGTGAAATAATTTAAAGAATGAAAATGAAACTAATTTTGAAATTGGTCTTATCACGTTTGTATTATTATTATGATTATCTACACGAACCACACGATTAATTTTGCTGTTGCATTGTTAAAAAATAATATTGGTTCTTTTGATTTAACATAATAGGTTTACAATAATTATTATATGATATTAAAATCACGGAAGTCATAAAATATTTATACTTACGACTTAGATATAAGAAATAAATCATATTTAGGCTACTTCTATATTTTATTCTTTTCGTCTATTATTTTAAATTTTATCAAGTCGATTTAAATGTGTATACAAATCATAAATGTATATTTTTGTTGTTAAACTATTTTCCTGGTCTATAATATTAGACGATTACATTGCTCGTAAAAATGTATATTGTAATGGTTTTTTTTTGCAGTAAACTAGATTTTTATTTTCATAACAATAAATTTAAGTTTATAATGTGTTATTTACTGTTATAGTTTTATTGGATTTTCAAATATATTTTATAAACACGAACGTATAACATTGTAAATGTATTATAATATTTAACGACATTTAATAGAATACTATGTTAATGAAAATTAAAAACAAATACCCACTAATGTTACAGATTATTTATACTTCGCTAAATTGTATACTAAATTAAATTTAACAAAACTAAAATTCATGATAGCTTCACAAAAACTATCCTTTTCATCTGTAAAACATAAAATATTACTTATACTATTTTAAAATCAAATTTCATTCAAATAATCGAAATTTAAACTAGAAATCAAAATCACATATTTTTATAATTTTTATTTTTTTTACTGTAGGTAGGTCACTATACCTAATCTGAATATTTAAACAGAAAAAGTAATTATGAATACTTAAAAATACATACAGTCACCACTACTCGCCCGTTGTGCCGTGTAAATTAATTAGGAGACGAAGTTAGTAAATGTTTTTAATATTTCAATTTAATGATGATTATGTGATGTCCCGGTATGCACCTTTTTTCTGTCATATTATGTTTGCCTATCCTAATTCGTTTTTATCACATTTATTTCAACACAAAATCATATTAATGGAATGTAAATTAAATTATTGCAATTATTTTTGATTATAAACAGATTTAATTATTTTATGAATGAATTAACAGGTGCGTAATCACACTAAAAACTACATACGGAAGTTACATATCAGGTATATTAAATAATTATAATACACGCGTACATCTTCCGCTGTAATCTGTTTTAACCTGTCGGCGTATATGTTGTAGGTAATTTAATTATTATTTGTGATGATTTATAGTATTGCGTTAAGATTTATATGGTAGGTAATGAAAATATAATGTAAATGCTCGAACACTATTACTCTGCGAATGATTATAGTTTACAACAATTAGCAAAGATATAATGTTATGTTAATAATTCTAAAACATATACCCAATAATGCGATTTTAATTTAAAAACTATTTCAACTATCTAATAATATAAAGAAAGTTACTATTACAGATATATTTGAATTGCTGCTTTAAGATTATTGATGGATATTTCAGTATAATATTTAAATAATATTTTATAGTTCAATACCTGATTTGTTTGAATAAAAATTATGGATATTAGTGTAGTCAGTAAAAATCCATTTTTCTTGTTGTTATATATTATGCATTACATGTTAGGTACATAATAGAAAATAGAGATATCAAATTTTCAATAAATCTCAAATTCAATTAGTATCAAACAAATACAATTTTTTTTGATTTTTACAATTAAATATAGTACACTATGAAGTTTTAATTAACAAGGAAAGATTTTTTTTTTTAAATGCTATTCATGAACGAAATATAATGTTGTTTAAACGGTGTTAATTTAAATGTTTTTCATGCGCTTCATGTCCTTCCGACTTCATTCCGGACGGAACCTGAAAGGGCATATATAGAGTGTACAGTATTTATCTCCCAAAACTTTACCATCAAGTTAGTCACATAAAAATAATCACACTGTGACAGGTCGAAATCAGACTTCACGTCACCAACGTACAACGAAACAAACCTGTAATGTTCCCTCAAAAAACCCATAGACGCTCTAGTTCTGGTGTATGGCACGCCATTCGTCCAACTGAAACTTTTGTCAACCCAACTTAACTTCATTTCCATCCCAACTGGATTAAACCCGCCGAGTGTAAGCAAACCTTTCCGAAAACTTTAGCCCCCCCCCCCGAGCCCCAATCCTCCCAAGTCGCAGCCAATTCAGACACATCATATCCCTTCTCTGTATAAAAAGAACTATCTGACCTGCAAGAGTCAAGTTGTGTGGAAAAACCGATTAATACGAAAATATGAAATTCGATTTTCCGTCACGAATTGGGTTGAAATAAACCTAAACAATATCAGATGGATGTTTTAAATTTGTACACTATACTACGCCTACCAAATACCCAAATACGATATAAAATTCCTAATTATTTTGAGCTCCGCGTCGTTGGAATGATAATATATTTTTTTTTCACTTTTTTTTTATATTACCGGGACCTAGACTTGGACAAAATCCAACTCGTTTGCATCGTTTTATTTCCTTACTTCATTTAACATCCTCCTTTATAACGCATCGCATCTTTATCTGAACGTTACACGCACTTATACGCATTATAGTACGATGTTATGTAAATGCAATTATATTTTCCAATCGTTCAACTCTGTTTATAGGCAGTATCAGTCATCTGCAGACACGTTGCCAAAGTAAAAAGATCACACAAATTTATTTTTACGAGACATAAATGTTTATTTACATGAAATCTTATTTGTTTGGATACAGAATAATGTTTAATTTAAACACACGTTAAATGATAAATTGTGATTTGTTCACCTTAAATTTCGATTTTGAGTGGATCGGGGTATTTTTGTGTCTCGTGCAAAATGTTTTAAAACCAAATACACAGTGCATTATAAGTTTTTCTCATAGCAACTTAAAAAAGTTGAAAATACACAGTCACAGTTGTTTTATATATAATTATTATATTGAGATACGGTAATGCGCCTGTGCATATTTTAATATTCTCTTTTTGAAAATATCGTCTTTTGGAATTACAGCGTAAGTGCTGTGGGTAATTTGGTGTACTTGAATAACACGTTAATTTTAAGAAACATCGTTAACGACTCTGTCGAGGCGAACCAGCAGAGCGACGGCAAAGAAAGCATAATATGTTATACGTGTTATTTTGAGTAAGAATAATCCATATTTTACATACTATAACATGTTATGATCCTTTTATACTCATTCAGTCATAAAATTGTTAAGTATGAAATTCTTCTACGAGAAGGATAAAATTACTTAAAAGATAATAGGACGTAGGTGTTTCAAGACAACTAACTAACCATTAAAAAAAAAAGTAAAAAAGTGTGTCTGTAGATAGGTACTAGTTAAGCTTTTTGTATTTATAAGTGGCCAAGTTCTATAAACAAGTTTCGAAAAACTTAACTTAACTATACACATAAGATTAAAATATTTTAAACTCGTTCTACGCATTTGCATATGTGTACTGTCCTGTATGCACATCATAATAATATGTTATATTATACACCGTAATAGGTGCTGTGATAAATGTCACTTTTTAAGTGGAAATTTGATTCGTAAAGTAGGAACTGTATAGCTGTATTGTTGATACTCTTCGACGGGATGACAACAATTTTTAACTTGAAGTTCCCTTTTGAAAAAGTCACTCGCGGTTTGTGTTTAAATAAAATCTTTATAATACAGTAATCGATTTATACAATATATACGATAATATCACAGTATGTTAGTATAATATGTAATAACCAATGTTTCCGAACCTTTTTAACTCAAATATTTATTCGATTTGATTTTTCCGATAGGTATATTTTAAATTCGTTTTTGCTGACGGAATGATTAAAATATTCTAATTTGTTTAGGCAGCTGAATGCTATTATTTCACCGATTATTGGGAAACACTATACAGTACGAGGTATCGCGTCGGTTAGTATATATAAAAAAAAAAACAAACTAAAATGCGTTTTACGAGACGTATTTTATATAATATTAAAATATAACGTAATACGGGCGATGTTTATGAGGAGAAATAACACGCGAATTTCATCCGGCCGCGTATACGCTTCCGTTTGTATCAAAGGATTCGCAGACTAGGTACTTCAAAGCATTTAAGTGTCGTGAGAAAAAAAAAACTGTCGCACACACGCAGCTGTGTCAATATCGCAGGAACCAGTAATGAAAATTCAATGATGCTTTTCAGTTTTCGGCATGGTAAGATGAGTCGTGAGAGGACCACTGCTGTTGATTAAATTGCTTTATATTTCATTATTATGTCTCCGCCCACTCGTCCTACAACACTGTCCATGCGTGAAACTATACGTGCGGCGCACTGCTGCAGCGATGGAGTGTGTCGACTTAGTTATATTATATATTTAGTCGGAAATGGGAAAAGGTCGTGAAAATAATAATTTTTGGTCCCCGGAGAAAATAAATTGAAATTACGTTTCAGCGAGAACATTTTTACACGTAACAATTTGTCGTATGGGTGTGTAACAAATATTACGAGGTATATGGTCGCCCAGGTAGGATAGCTCCAAGAATGTGCTAAACGTGCACGTCTATATTGTTAAAACATTAAAAACTTCGTAGGGTAATTTCGTGAGCCGACAAATGATTTTGGACACGGATTGATTTGAAAAAACCGTTTTATGTCACATGTTTAAATACACGATAAACGTGATTAGTGGACTATAGAAGATAGTTTTGAATAAATGTTTATGAAAAGTTAGGAACGCTGTCATCAAAACTTTAAATGGTTAAATTATTGAATTAGAGTTCATAGTATTAACATTGTTAGTTGATATTATTATATATAGTATCATATCAATGAATTGTATTCAAAAAGAACAATTTTTAAACATGATATATTATATTATTTATTATTTTAACATTAAAACTCGATATTATACGACCATAATATAAACTAGTTTTATTTATATATATATTTGAAATTTGATCGTTGATGTATCGAAGATAAGTTAATAAAACTATTTTTTATAGACTTAATTTAAAAGTCGACTACTGTTTATTTGTGTACACGCAATATAGTGTACTGCTGCTAACCAAATATATTATAAAAGTTAAACGAAAAATAAATATGATAATAAAAATAATAAATTAAATTCGTTTAACAGTAGAATCTATCATCGTATAGACTAGCGAGATATTATGGTTTAGAATATTGTTCAATTTAAAGTTTAGATCGTAAGTTTTTACCAACATAATTAAGGCAAGAAAATGTGCTTTAGCAAAATGTGTATAGAATAGTATTCTTTCATCGCGATCTTGCATAATAATATGATATAAAATTGTAAGAAACAACGTGGGTGTGTGCAATTTGATCTTGATAAACTTAGTTATACTAAGTTAAAGTTAAAGTTAGTGCTGAAAACCTGAGGTCGTTTTTTTTTTCAGTCTATAATAAAAACAAACAAAAATAAAGAAACATATAATTTTGTTTTGTTGCGATTGATGTATTCTTTAATATTTTTACTACAATTGAAGTATGTCTAGAGTATAATATTAATTATGTTGGTATACGATAACATTAAAACAGGAATCGTGACACAAAACAAAATATCTTTAATTTTTTTAGCGTTTACGCTTCAAGGACTAACATTTAATCATATTTAAAAGTGTTCACTGTTATTGGCCATGCGAAATCGTTAAGAGTAAACAATCGACACAATCGAATAACGATTAATCGATACAACAGAATACCGATCACCACCATAGGCGCACATTGGGGGTTAATTAAGGGGGTGCTGGAATAATTTGTGTTACACAAAACCGAAGGGGGCTTCGAACCCACACCATCCTAAATTCTAATACTATAATAAATTGCATTGCAATTATTTTAAATTTGTATACAATTTGTAAATAGCAATGAATCAATAGTGGTTATAAGCTTTCAATGATATAATTACGATTTTCTATAATATGATTGCTGCTTATTGTTTAATATTTTGACGACAACTGAAACGTGCATTTATGCAATATACTGTTTTAATCCCAAATTCATGAACTGTAGTCTATTTGTAATGGAAAAAAAATCCGAACCACAATAATTTATTAATGATTGGTGAAATACTGAAATAAATTTCATAGGGAACTGGGGGTGCTAGTTTAAACCTCGAGGGTGCTAAGCACCCCCAAGCACCCCCCTATGTGCGCCTATGATCACCACATTGTTATTGTTTGGTTGTCGTAGCAAACAGTATAGGAAAACAAATGTTTTATCCGGCTCATAGATAATTATAATATGCGTTATTAGAATAATCCTATTATTTCTATAATATATCATAATTATTATGAGAACAGGTGCCATTGTGAAAGACCATCTAGATCTATGTCGGTGTTTACATAATATCAGCTATAGGCAACCTGCAGCTTATAGCCTTATACAATACTGTAAACAAAATAGAAAAATGTAAATTCAATTTTATTTTGTATTTAAAAAATGGAAGTATTGAGAACACTTGTTAATAAATAGATAATAAATAATTAATTTTGAAGTGAATATCAAAATTGTGAGGATATAAATTAAATATGCATATGCGATTACAATAACTTTAGTTGCTGTATTTAATAGATTTTTGAATATATAATTTAACACAATAATTCACGTTGGGATTTAATTTTGAGCAGAATTGCAGAAATTATTTACAGACGAAGCTGTAAAGTGTTAACTAGAATGTAAATGTACAGAATTACGGAATTTATATTGGAAAAATAGTTGATAACTAATAATTGTTTAATACTTATAGATGTATTTTTACAATGTATATAGAGATAGGTATTTTTTTAAATGTATTGTGGATTACTGAAAATTGAAAAACCAATGAAAACATTGGCAAGTATAATATAATATTATGTACCTTTAAATAGTTGAAATGTTATCATAAATTCATAAAAGTTACTTATTTTTAAAAATGTTACTTAAAATAAATATATAAAGTGTTAGGTCTGATGGCCCTGGATATTTCGTAGACAGAACTCTAAAAAATAAAAACTATATATTGTTACAATAATAATTTATGCTTTAATTTTGTCGTAGGCAGTTGCCTAGTCATCAATATTTATCAAAAAC